TGTCTTTGCTTTGAGATAACATACGTTATAGAACATCACATACAAAAGGTATGGTGTAGTGATTGGTGTCCATAGAATGTCTTTGCTTTGAGATAACATACGTTACACAACACCACATACAAAAGGTATTGTGTAGTGATGGTGTCCATAGAATGTCTTTGCTTTGAGATAACATACGTTACAGAACATCACATACAAAAGGTATTTTTTAGTGATTGGTGTCCATAGAATGTCTTTGCTTTGAGATAACATACGTTACAGAACATCACATACAAAAGGTATTGTGTAGTGATGGTGTCCATAGAATGTCTTTGCTTTGAGATAACATACGTTACACAACATCACATACAAAAGGTATTGTGTAGTGATTGGTATCCATAGAATGTCTTTGCTGTGAGATAACATACGTTACAGAACATCACATACAAAAGGTATTTTTTAGTGATTGGTGTCCATAGAATGTCTTTGCTTTGAGATAACATACGTTGCACAACATCACATACGAAAGGTATTGTGTAGTGATTGGTGTCCATATAATGTTGTTGCTTTTAGATAACATATTTTGCAGATCATCATTGTGTAGTGATTGATATCCATAGAAATGTCTGTTCTTTTTTTCTTTTTCATCGCAATTCAAATACGTATTCCCTTATAAAAACATGTTTCTATTTGCGGGAGGTATTAATGACATCCAATCAGAAGTTCAATTAACTTTGCACTTGCAGAACCTTAGGCACATGAGTTCTGCTCGAGACATAATAATTGAACACCCTGTTGGTTGCCAATAGCAACCCCAGTCCAGTAGAATCATGATATCATCATGTAGGTTTATTTTCTCAGTTTTATTTATAGATAAAAATTCAATATGACATGGACACTTCTTCTTAAACGACGAGTTTGAGCAGTGTAAGAGAGGGGTAGTACTCTACGTACACAAGAAATACCCAACAATTGGAGTAAAATTCTCTCACAATAGTTGTGATCAATATTCGGCCCCCACTTCAATTTCTTTGATTTTTTCGCCATATGTAGAAACACAAAAATTAAAAATAACTGCAAATATAAATATTCATCTGACAAAACGTAGTAGACCTCCTTGCATAAAACCAGGTTGAGTCGTGGGGGTATCCTAACATAATTGCAGATAAATATCACAGGCATATGTAATTTTGAAAATGAATCACGATAGTGTATGGTGTATACATTTATTGTTTTCATATTAAATATGTGATATCGAAATATAGCACTATAAAGTCGGCATTAGATCCGCGCTATCACAAGGAGGCAACTACACCAGCATACCCTGCCTTCAGCACACATACACACATGCACGCTTACACAACACACATGGAGGCACGTCCTTAAATGACATTAACTGTTAATAGGACGTTCAAGAAAATAAACCCAAACCATGAAGTAAGCGCAGTGATACTTTTAATTATAAAAACATGCAAAATTTTCACAAAATTTAAAAATGTTATATATTTTTTTTATATATATAACATCTCAAATAACCTTTAACTTCGGTCAGTACCTGGATTTATCGACCCAAGAAAAGAAATATTGACCTCGGACTGCGTCCGCGATTAATATATCTTTTCTCGGGTTGATAAATCCAGGTATCGACCTCAGCCAAAGGCTATAATTGAATAATATGTCGTGTCCCGATTGGTTGACATAAAGATATTGACCGATTTTGTTCAGATTCGATATGCAGATGTGTTATGGCATTGTGATAATTTTTTAAGCACCGTTTGCCACAACATGATTAGTCCGGGCGCCTTATGTAACGGTCCCTGTTACAACTAGATATTGTTATACTTTATGATATAAAATGAAATGTATGTACCTTGAAGAGCAACTGATTTAACTTCTGCTTTAGTAAGCTCATGTTGTGTAAACAGTTTGTGTTCTTTGTTCCTTAAGTTATCTTGGTCATTGTAGAATCCTACCATTATTGTCGACTATGTCTTGTGTTAGATATGACTTACATATAATCTATATATACGGTATATCTCGCGCAAATTGTGGTTTAAAAATGTTTCCATGTTTCGAATATCTCCAGTGGAATTCCAACAAAATCATTTCTTCTGATTCGAAAATAAATAAATAATATATAAAAAAAAACCAGGTATTGCTATTAAGAAGTGTTAATTCTCTAAAAAATAGGTGTACTGGGTTGCGTTTGAATGTGTTATAGAAGGTGCCCGAACGTGCGTTGTATTTAAGCGCGCGCGTGTTTATGTATACTGCACGCGTATGCGTTCCAGGTGTTTATGAACAAGTAGGACAAACATACCACGTAATTGAGCAAATGTATTTTTTTGTTCATAGTCCAATTGAATATATAAAGATATTTGAAGACTTCTGCTTCGTATTTCAAAAGTGATAGATAAATCAATCAATAATTATTAGGTATGCCGTACATTGAACACATCGTCATCATATGTCATCTTAGCTCATCTATTACATGTACACGTAGGCAAGTTTAAAGAAGCTCGCTCTATTCCAACAGTGATGAGATGACGTCAGAAAAAAACAAGGGGTTGAAACAAGCAGCATATATAAACTGTCGAATGAATGAAAGAAAGTCTTTATTTTGGGGATACATTTTTCTTTATCGGTACCTATATTTGAAAAGACTTTAATAAAAATTGACTTCTTGCTTTTACCAATTCAGTTATTCCATCTAAATACAACGTAATAGCTTATATTCCCCATTCCACGTTGATAAATAGGTTGCCCATGCTTATTTCGGATTCGTTGTAATCTACGTACAACATATGTACATGCAGGACATTCTCAGATCTAAGCATTTATCCGTTGTCTGGTTTCACATCTATTGGTGAAAACATATTTTATTATACTTCAATTAAGTTAATTGGTTGTTGGTTCTGGGAATAGTTTTTTTATTGTGCTATAACAAGTCACTCTTTATTCTTAATTATTTTTATTTGATTCATTTCCTTTCTTCTGGCAAATTGAAATTATGCCCATTTCTAACAAAGTAGTGAAGTTAAAATTCTTAATAGAAAAAGGTAAAAGGTATCTCCTACCAATTCCCAAGTCACAATAAGACTTTGCTTAGGCGAAATATTGTGTGCAATAGTTCTGCATTAAATTGATGAACACCCAGATACTTCGTATGACGTTATTGCTATACGTGCAAGAGGACGTCAACAAAACGAGATAAAGTGACAATTTATCGCGCTTTTTTGTACCTCACTGAATGCGTGTGTAATCATTAAGGAGTTATCGCTTCACTATTGATGCAGTTGTAATTCCTATATCAAACTATTCTTCCTAATCAACTGATGGGAGTTTTTAGCAGAGAAAGGGTGATTTCAAAAAGTAGAGAAACAGCTATTTTATTGTTGTAAAATAAAATGTATTCGTTTGAATATTTTCTGGGAGTGTCCTCTTGTTAATTTGAAGTGACTCGTTAATCGTACATATTATTTGTTTATATACATTAATCAGGTCTCCTCTGATTCTACGGTGTACACAATATTGGTAATTTTAATCTTAGTAGACGCTCAGTATATGCTAGATGTTATAGTTGTGTTGCTCTTCGTTGAACATTTTCAATGAGATCTATATCTTTTGCACTATGTGGACTCCAGACACTGGCGGCGTATTCCAGATGTGGCCTGACTAAAGCTTTGAATACTAAATTAAACATTGGTTCATCAAGATATACAAACGGTCCCCTTATTAGTCGTACAATACTGTTTGCTTTGTTTACGCATTGTTGAATATGAGACCGAAAGTTCAATCTTTTATCTATTATGAGCCCTAGATTTTGTTCTATCGGTATATTTTCTAACGTATATATATCTACCTCCGTGCCTGTTATAAAGTACTTCCTTTCATCGTCTGCTTTAATTGAGAGAACATTATATTTGCCTCCTTCCAAGATTGTGGTAGTTTTCCTTCTGCTAAGGATTTGTTAACTATATCATACAAAGGTGTACTCGTGTTATTTCCCAATTCTTTTGGGGTTTTGGTGCATCCTGTCTGGTCGTTGTGATTTATTTTCGTTTAGATTCTTGAATAGATTCTTCATACAGCTTCTTATCAATGACCTTTTTTATCACGATTTATTTCACATTATATTGACATGGAAATAGAGGCAGAAATGCCTGCGTTCACTAATATCCTATTTAGTCCTATTAAATAAAGATATGATATTCTTCTTAAGGTGGGTCCATCCTTTTGGAAAAACCCATGTAATTTTTTTCTAACTAGACTTATTTTCTTGCATTTTTTACGTAGATTCCATATATGAAAAGAAAAAAGGGGGTTCTCGACTTACTTTTTGAGATATTTGAGCTGTAAGGTAGCCACTTATCTGCATTTTTTCCAAAAAATATGAAAATTAAATAAAAATTTGTTTACTACAATATTTACAAAATTTGAGTTACCAAAAAGTTGAATATTTTTTAAACATTACGTGATGTACTACCAAAAGCAAAAATAAAACAAAATAATTATATTTGCTATTTTAATTAATTTTTGTGGCAATCTATAATATTTAAAATGCAATTTTTAACAAATTTACAACAAACAAATGCATTAAAAACAAGCAGAAAAGTTTTACATACACCTCACTAATTAATTCAAGTCCGTGCTTGTATCATTTCCGGATTTTCTCTGTCCCTTGTGGACTGTGATTACTATATCCGAACCCGGTAGCTTTCCTTTATCTCGACGGTCCTGGTCCTAGTGAGCCCCTGATCCAGTAAGGACAGCTCAGATGTTTGATACTGTTGCATATAAAGCTATTCGCCAAATTATAAAGACAATTGTGGTTTGCTTACAAACCAATACTAACGTAATAAAGGCAAACAATTTTCATGTATTAGGGTTCTACTCACAAAACAAACTATTATATTTCATACATAAATCGGTCTTCGTAAAAATGGAAAGGCTACCGGATGTTACCGCTTATAACCAGGACTGAATAGCGACTATAAATAAATATAAATTCGTATGGAATCTACTCGGTAGTGAAGCGGACGTAAAACATATCAATCAATCAATCAATATGGAACTGTGCTCCAAAAATCTTATAAAATGGTCAATATTTTATTGAAGATGTAAAAAAATAGAAAACAACAATTTGCATTTACTGCGAATCTGAAACAACATGTCAGCCTTCACGGCCGCGGCGTGCCGACTTCTGAATTACCGATGTCCAATTGCAAGTTTAGGCATCGTCAGGTAATTTGTAGCAATGCATCATGTAGAAAAACAAACCATTGAACTAGACGTGTAAATACAGCTCTAACATACAACAAATTGGTGATAATGGTGGTGTAGTAGGTTAGAGGTCAGTTGGGGCCTGTTCGTTTATAAATGTAACAATTTCGGGTAATAATCCTGGCGGACCTTCAAAAGTGTATTCAGGCCTTGTAAGGCTTTGTCAAGGCTCGCATGAAAGCAGCATCATAAACGAAAACGGCCTTGCACTCGCACTCGCAGCCGTCTGTTGGGTAACGGGTTGTTTCGCCCTAAAATCCCGTTAGCGCTAATGGTTGTTTCACCCTAAATTTTTTAATTCATACGCTAATATAATATTTAAAAATATCAACTCAACTGATTGATCAGGTTACACACAACGGCGCATATGGGTAATAATCCTGCTTTTGGGTAACAGTTATCCATTTGCAGTAACAATTTTATTACTCAGACGGGGAATAAATTGAAATGAAAACACAAAGTTCTTTTAAACACCTGGAGCACAAAAGGGTGTCATTCTTTAAAATATATTCTAAATTATCCGTCGTCTATAGTAGGTGAGTCGTCTATTTCAGGTGAGTCGTCTATTTCGATGCAGTATATCTATTGTATGTATTGTGTATTACTGACTGCAATAAAAAAATATGCTGAAAAATAAACAGATCACGTTCTTTTATCAATATTGATGCTGCAAACATTTATAGGTCCTCGGCCATTTTTGTGGGTGTTTTTCACTATTAACTTTATTGCTAAAACAGTGGAAATTTTATGAGTAAAGGACTCAGGACTAATGTGTACTAAAATCCATCTACAGCACCATTACAAGAACGTGTTGTGGTCATCTTCTTTTGCTGTGTTAAGTGACTGTTATTTCTAAGACAGTAAAGTTAGAGTTTCTTGACAAACTGATGTTGCTTAAGACCTAGTTCAAATTATTCTGACGTTTTATCATTTTTTTGTATATATCGGTCTGGTGTCGATTAACATTGGTTAACAGAGTTCTGACATTAATCGCCGCCAGACCAATTATAAAAAAGTTGATAAAACGTCAGAATAATTTGGACTACTAAAAACCATGCAGCTACAAGTTGACAGACAGCACAATACAGATTTCTGCTTTCCTTCATTTAAAAAGAAAATACCGCTTTGTACTCGAATGTTATTGAGTCCCTATTTTTTTTTATTAAGCTGGATATGCATTTTTGCTGATTCAATCCATATTTAGGTGAACCAGTGAGTTTACTCTGGTTAATAGAATCATAACTCTGGTTCTGGTTAATAGAATCATAACTCTGGTTAATAGAATCATAACTCTGGTTAAAAGAATCATGTGACTTTGACCTCTTTCACAACACTTGAAGAATTTTCCATCATTGAATATTTCAGCCTGATGCTTGGCCCATGGCCAGGAAAGGCATTTTTATCAAGCAGGATAAGGGGCTATGTATCATTACAGTGATATCTTTTGCTCAGTTTTACTGCCGAATACAGTCTGTTTCCGTTAGCTAAATAGTGAAAAAGTTTTATTTTTGACACAATTTCTGTTTCAGACAGAATATAATTGGAAAGATCTTCCCATATTTCATGATTTTTCTTTATAGTTTCTCTTAACTCTTTCACCCCTATGTAACTTTGGTAGACTCTACCATGCCTTACTCTGGATGAGTCCATTATGGTCTACAGTACTAGTGGTGAAAGGGTTAAGTAGAAGATTGTTTAACTTTGAAGTCAGTGTCTTGAGGAATGTATGTATACAAAACCTGTTAATCCAGCCGTTTTCTTTTGTCACAAAGTTGACTTTTCATAGCTTCCCTGTAGTATTGTGTAACAGAAAAGAGAGTAGTGTATCAAACCCGTTATCCCAGACTTCCTAGTCAGATACTATTTTACCACTGAGCTAAAGGGAAGTAACCTCAAGCACAAATCTAAAAAGAGGTCTGACCTTTCTGCCGCACTCACTCCCCTCTTTTTTTTCACCCTTAAACAAAACAACAACCCAGGTTCTCACTCCCTGTCACCACAGCGAGGGCCATGGACACCATTTGTATTAGGAAAGAGAGTGTGCTTCTGACGGGGATCAAATCTATAACCCCAGCGTCCACGTCCGATTTAGCTAAAGGGAAATTCCCCCTGGCTCAAAGGCAACTGTTAACATTCAAATCTGCCACAAAATACCAGTTCTGTAGTTGTAATTCAATTTTGTCTAGTTGACTGTCTTGAACTAATAGATAAAACTTTATATATTTTTGTCCTTTTTCAGAAAAGCAAGATATATCATTCCTGGCAATGGTTTCCCGTGTAAGATATCAACAACATGTAACCATTTTTCCAATGATGATAAATCTGGAGTGGATCCGAAACAAGGTGTAAACAAGTAGGTATTGATAGAATAAACATGCTATGCTGGATCTCTCTGGAAGGAATGTTATGATAATAACCTTATGCCTTACATCTGAAAGGTTATACCTAGTTTGATTTCAGCAGTTTACCATGATTTCAATTATTTTCATCAAATTTAGAATGTAAGTTAAAAGTTTTTATGGAAATATTTGTGAACCAAAAGTCACATAAATTAGAGCTCTGATATATGTATGTTCATATTCCTTATGTATAGCCCTTTCACCACTGTAGATCATAATGGACTCCAGATCAATGCATGGAATAGTTTACTAAAGTTACATAGGGGTGAAAGGGTTTGTATTAAGCTATTGGAAGGTACCAGAGTTATCTCCCCTAGTCAGGTTAACATGTCTGTTGACACTGACAGATGATTGTGATAGTGTTTTAACTCATTCTCCCCTGAAATTTCATAATGGACTATTCCAAACCTTGAATTGGAAAAATTTGAATGTGTCTTCAGGGGTGAATTAGTTAATAACTTGATATTTTTATATTTGAAAATTATAAAATAACAGTGCAAAGACCCCCGGAGAAGATTGATTAGATTGATAAAACAGTTATATCTAATTCAATTAATTCCGTTGTCAGTGTTCTATATTTTGTATGCTTTATATATAGTTATATAATAGGGGATTCCATTGGAAATAAGCTTTCTATGGCTTTGATGGACTATCCCAAGGTAAGATATCAATTATAGATCTAGATATCCACTTTGTAAATTACCTATTATTATTGTTATGATCAGATTGTTTTGTTATGTATAATACCTTTTCCTGAATAGATATTATCATTATTATTTGTTCTCTTATGCATTGCTGGTGTATAATTCAGCTACTCATTCGGGTATTAGAATTATGTAAGGGCAGGTTAAATATATGTGATCTTGTGAATTTTCTTCACAATCTACATGCTAACCTCAAATATGAAATGGTACACCCCTTGCTTGAAATTAAACATCAAACTCTAATGTGTAGATACTTTTATTTTATAAAAACATGATTTCATTAATTTTCTTGCAGGACACCAGATGTCAAAGCCCAGATTTTTACGCATGACAATGCTGTATTTCATGATCAGATTTGTAAATCTCTGTTTGGGGACGGTGCTAAAAATTTATTCAGAATGATGTCAGAGGTAAGAACTTCACTTGTCAATCTTGTCTTGTATAATTCTGTGTTAACTTGTGAAGGTTGATCAACCTGGCCATAGAACCAGTATTTATGTTGGATTATTTTCACGGCAACAGGAGTACATCTTTTTCTTCCCAGTTACGTTCTCTGCACCCCTGGAATATGTCGTCGCAAAATTAAAGGCACAAAGGTAGCAAAACCTGACCAATTGCTAGGCTGATACATTTAGTATTTGTCCTTGGAAGATTACTGAGGAGCGACACACAACTTCAAAGCTAGTCAATTTTACCGTTAGGTGATCGTGTGATTCTTTTAATGTACATCAAAGGATCAAACTGGTATTTTTGTCTCGTTAACGAGATGGTGAGTTCAGAGTCTTCAATTTTGTTATGACATATTTCCGGTGTGCAGATCAGAGAGCATTTAAGTAACCCCTCGAGTATCGATGATGCAAAACTGACAGTAGTCATATCTGTATTACCCATATTGATATATTTCATCCTGGTCTATGATAACTGGTGTAATATTGATACCAGGAGCAGTACAGGTCAAATTGGCATATTGTAAGATTATTCTGTAAACTGGTAGGTTACAACTTTTGATGGATGATTTGCTGTTTCAGAGTAAAATCAGGTTCCAAGTGGTCACTGGAAAGGATAATATAGAAGTTATTGCAACAAGTGATGAAAGGCTAGAGCAAGCAAAACAAATAGTAAGTACCGAAACTTGTGTGTTGTTGTTTACTTCCTGAAGTTATTCTTTTGACTGATCTTTTTCTATCATCTTGGGTACAACATTTACATAAACTGTATGACCCGATATTGACCTAACAGGAGAAGTGGACAGATGTACAACCTGCCAGTAACCTAATCAATACAGTGTGTATATATAAGGCTCTCTAGTCGAAATGAATAGGTAATTAGGAGCAATACCGTACAAAAGAATATTTCCACAGGGATGATATTTTCACAATTTTGTGGGTCACTAACATGATCTCGAAAATTTGATCCGCAGAATATTATGAGAAATGTCAAAATGTTGATGGTTTGATTAACAAATAACTCTTACTTGTTGCTCAATATGCTGTCATAAAGCTTTTTGTTTAACTATTTGACTCTTTATACGTCTCTGAGCCAAGACACGATGAAAATTTAGTTCTCTCACTTGTCAAGATGTCCAATTATAATCTGTGTAATTTGAATTTCTATTTTTTGGGTCAAAAGCATAAAAAATTAAGCGCACATAAATAACCAGCTATACCTGCAGGGTTGTAAAAATCCAAACAATCAGTTTTCAGAACTGGGCAAGCGCAATTAATTGACCGACTTGCCCCGGTCTAGTACGTTTTTTAGCCTGCATCTGTTGTTACAAATATAGTAAAATCTGTTTTGTACCATATTTACCAATTCTGATGACAACTGTCGGACGTTCTGTGGCTGACATCACATGTTTACACACATAGACGGTGTAAGGGGGACAACTCTAATGATATTAATGAGAATCAGACGCCGCCCATTGCCTTGTATCATAATGTTGTCACTAATTCCTTGGTTTTATTTACCACATCATACGTTAATTATAGCTTTCATCTTCAAGTAGGAACTAGTGATTACTTAACCAAAAATGACTTGGAAGGTTTGTGTATAGTCGGCAAATTGTGTTAGTGACACTGTGTGTATAGACAGGTGTGTGCAGAAATGTGCTCACGTTCAGTGTAGCATTTGCTGCTGGTAATTCGAAGAAAACAAACACCATTTTACAATGATGCATATTCTATCAAGCTATTGTAATTCATTGATTAATCTTTGTTTATACACATGTATCCAAATAAACCGGAAAATTACTTTATCGGTTAAAGAATGTTAATTTAGAGCTTTTTGTAACTCAGGTGGAAAAAGAAGTTGAAGATATAAAGAGTAAATTGCAGATGAAACCAAGGTGAGTATTAATGCTATTAAATACGTAAAGTGAGTAACAACATTACTGTATGTGAAGTTAGTAATGCTATTACTGTATGTGAAGTTAGTAATGCTATTACTGTATGTGGAGTTAGTAAGTGATGTAAGTAATGCTATTACTGTATGTGGAGTTAGTAAGTGATGTAAGTAATGCTATTACTGTATGTGGAGTTAGTAAGTGATGTAAGTAATGCTATTACTGTATGTGGAGTTAGTAAGTGAAGTAAGTAATGCTATTACTGTATGTGGAGTTAGTAAGTGAAGTAAGTAATGCTATTACTGTATGTGGAGTTAGTAAGTGAAGTAAGTAATGCTATTACTGTATGTGGAGTTAGTAAGTGAAGTAAGTAATGCTATGACTGTATGTGGAGTTAGTAATGCTATTACTGTATGTGGAGTTAGTAAGTGAAGTAAGTAATGCTATTACTGTATGTGGAGTTAGTAATGCTATTACTGTATGTGGAGTTAGTAAGTGAAGTTAGTAATGCTATTACTGTATGTGAAGTTAGTAATGCTATTACTGTATGTGAAGTTAGTAATACTATTACTGTATGTGAAGCAACGCTATTACTGTATGTTATAAAAAAATCTTTTTGGAACTTAAAGGGGCTGGTCGGGGGAAAAAAAATACAAAATAAATGGGTCTAAATGCGTTATCTGGCCTTCCAAAAGTTATACTACGGCAATATAATGGTCAAGTTCTGCTTGCAATGTCCAGTTTTAACCACTGAAATCTCGGGGAAGCCCCGCGTAAATTTAGCGCAGATCTATTTATATATGTCACGTGGTTGTTTCGAAAGTGAGGCAGTGAAGATAACAGCAATAGCACGCCCCCGTGTGCCATGTCGGACTCAACTAGCAGACGAGACAGCAATACTATACGTAAATAATTGTTTTCAAAGGTCATGTATTATGCAAGAGTAGTATTCCTACCTATACGTTGTTATATATAATGGTATTGATACCTCATGCCTGTCATGACTTTTGCATGCATCTTTTTCTTTCGCCGCAATGTTTACATTTGGCCTTGTTGATGCACGTGTGCGGTAAAATTACATCACTGATCTGGGTCAATTGAGAGTTTTAGACTGTCAGGTGACGATTTAGGATTTCTTTAATATAATTATAATTTTTACTCTTAGGGAGTGAATTTAAGCAAAATTTGAATCAGTATATTTCATAAGAAGGTATTTTAAACATGTGTATGACATTTTAGCAAATATGACATTTTTCCCCAGACCAGCCCCTTAAATATACATTATAATCATGATATGAAATTGTATTAACCCAAAAAGTATTTTGATTCAACTATTTTTGCACAAGTTATTTCCCTTCGTTTATATCAGTATTTGATTGATAGCATGCTAGCTAGCCACTCCTAAGGTGATGCAAATCTTATTTTAATGCAAGATAGTATAAATCCAAATTTAAGCTAGTTGGGAATAAAACAACTGAAAAAATTGTACTGAAATATTTTGACTCACATGCAAGGGAGATAGTTTTTGCAAGATAAATTATCCAAATATTCTATATTATACTATATATAGGCATCACTCGAGGTCCTGCTTGCCACTATTATCTGGTGTGCTCCAGTGATAAATCTACAAGCGAGTCTTGGGTTTTGTTTAGAAATTTGATTCTCCCCATAGAATTTATGAAAATACTGAAATTTAACATTGCATATGGACCCATATCTTTTAACCTTATAGTAGAAAAAGACCCATACAAACTGATTATAGATTGACCACTGGTACTTTGATAACTTGACTCTTAACAGTTTTCATCTCAAGTGTGATTATACCTGAGCAGGGGTAATCATGATCTCACTTTTGAACAAAACAGTAAAACCTTTACCTTTGTATGTAAGTACATTAAGGATACAAACCGCTTCTAGTAAGTAGTCTTAATTACAACAATTACATCATGTTCGAAGAATTGAATTTTCTTTATTTGTGTGAAAACCTCGGTTAATTCTCTATGAATAGGTCGGGGTACAGAGAAACAGTCGTCAACAACCTATTTTGTTAATTCAACTTAAATTAAAAAATAAATAAATAATGAAATGTACATGTTAAGACAGCTATGATGTACGTACAATGTATTTAAGTTAGGAGAGGGCTTAATTAAGTTGTAAGAACTTGTGCCCAATCCTTTTTGTCATTTTCAAGGCAATAAAAATATGTTTAAACTAACCTGAGCAGAACTTTGGTAATCATTGTCAATAATAATAATAATAATAATGCTTTATTATTTATAGAAGGTAGCTCAATTAGTTACAAAACTATTCTCCCTTGAGGCCTTCTCTACAATCTACAGCAATAATATATACAGAGTAATAACATTATATATGAATATAAATTCAGATATAATTAAAGGCAACATTGATCATGAAAAGACTTGAAATACAATTCTAGCATAATTACAGCCAAATATGTTGCTGTATATAATGTATAGTAAATTAATTGTACATGGACACAATGAAATTATATTTTCAATACTTAAAATATGAAATCAAGAAGCATATACATAGTAATTTACAGACAACATTGCAAAGATTGTATCTTTGATAACATTGAGGATACAGCATATGGTCATAATACATTTATGGATCAAACTAGAATTCTGAGGTGAAGAAAGTACTTAAAACATTTTGTCTTGAAAGACTGCAGACTGTCAGAATTTTTAATTTGTAAGGGCAGTCCATTCCATGCATGAATACCAGACATTTGAAAGATTTTCTTATATAGTTCTATCTTAAGTTTGGGTTGGATCGGTTCTCTATCTGTTGTAGAACGTAAAGTATAATTAGATGGAGATTGGACAAATAAATTCTTGAGGTATTTAGGTGTTAATCCATTAATTGATTTATACATCAGTACAGCTTTGTGATAATTCACCCTTTTATCAATTTCTAGCCACTGTAGTTTCAAAAAAAGTGGTTTAGATGGTGCATCTGATGGCTCATTGAGGATGATATGTGCTGCTCCTTTTTGTAACCTTAGGACTCTAAGTTTTGTTTGGAACAATTTCCCCATATAGTTATACAGTAATCCAGCAGTGGCAAAATATAAGCATTATAGGACAGTATTCTGGTATTCTGAGGCAAATATACTTCCTTATTTGAATAAGCAATGTCGACTTGGCTCCTCACATTCTACAAACTTTGTTAACTTGAATATTCCATTGTAGAGATTTGTCAACATGAATTCCTTAAAATTTGTGGCTTGAGACATTTTCAATAGGGATATTATTTATTTTGAATTTCAAGCAATTGTTTTCATATTTCATTTTTGCTGATTTCTGTATAGTAGAAAGTAACATGGCTTTAGTTTTGTTTTCATTTAACAGTATTTGTTTTGTTCACACCATTTTTCTACATTATATAGGTCTTCAGCAAGTTTTGACTGTATAACTTGTAAATTAGGTCCAGAAACATGAAGTGTGGTGTCATCAGCAAAAAGGTCAACTTGCGATGATTGAGTATTAAAAGGGAGATCATTTATGAAAACTATAAAAAGTAATGGCCCTAGGACAGAACCTTGTGCGACACCTTTTTTAACATATGCTATGCTTGATTTAGCACTTCCTATGCACACTTGTTGGCTTCATTGCCTTAGGTATGAGGTGAACCAACTGATGGAGCTTTCATCAAAGTTATACATTTTTAGTTTCTTTAATATAATTTCATGATCAACTAAGTCAAAAGCTTTTTTAAAATCAAGGAACACAAGCTAGGTCAAAGGTTACAATTCACTACATCTGGAAGGAGGTATATTGGTAACTTGCCCTCTTTGATTTTATGTGCTCACCTGGACCAGTGAGCTAAGGCTGTGTTGGAGTGTCTGTCTGGCCGGTGTCAATATTTTGCATACATAGCCCATAGGGCCAAGTCAGCTTAGGCTGTGGCAGTCAATGTTCAATGTTTTCTTGGCGTTATTAATCAGTAATGGAGAAATCCTTAACTGTACAGCGGTATGTTTTAGCGGCAGCTGTCTGTGAATTTCTAGCTAACAAAAATGTCTTCCCAGCTGCGGAGAGAAGGTATTACCTTCCCACTTTTTTCGCCCAGCCTCTCTGAATACAATGTGTATATGCATCTATTTTGAATCAAATCATCTTCCAACAGCATCTATAACATCGTTTTAAATGGGTGATCTATTTTACATTCAAACCTATTGATATCGTACTTTCTGCAGTTTGAAATTCTCCTTGCGGCACCCTCTCAGTGTGTGCATGTTCTAATTGAACCTGTTCGTTCTTATTCAAATCCAAATGTGAACAGAAATATCTGAATAGAGGTATATGTTATGATATTTATAATTCTTACTGGCAATCTGTATTGTGTAAATTCAAGATTGTGTTATATGTGAACTCGGACTCATATCTAACACTGTTGTCGGTCGACAGTGTAGTGCTGTACATGTTTACTTCCCACTGAAAGGCCCGGCTATTGCGCTATTTCGGTCATAGCTATTTTTATCACCACCTTTCCCAAAATATGAGACTGACCACACTGGACGTTGGCTTCAGGTCATGTCATTGTCAACTGCGTAAACTTTCTTTAGGATATATATATTTTCAGTATATTCTTGATTTTCAGGTAATCAATAAAACTTACTTCACTAAATTGTCCCTTTATATATATATAAGTGATGCCCATTAAGGACATGAAAGGTGTCCAGGTTTATCTTGTTATATATGGGATCAGAGGAATGTAAAACATTGATAGATAATGATAAAGGATATTATTCCCTGAATAAATGATTTTATCAAGTTTGTTGTTTTCCAGTGCAAACACTTCAGCGTATGAAGAAAAAGTATTGCTCGATTGGGATCCTGCAGTTCCAAAAAAACAGGTCAAAGGACGATTCATCGGTGTGAGAGGAAACAACGTAAGACAACTCATGAACCAGGTAAACAATGATCTCAACTCTAGATATCACTAGTTCCTTATTAGGTCGTTTGATCAGTGCTATCACCAGGAGGCAAATACACCAAAATACCCTGTCTCCGGCTAACATACATGTATGTATGAATACACAACACATATGAATGAAAAACATCCTTTAATGACCTTAGCTGTTAATAGGACATTGAAACTAAACCAAACCAACTTTGACTGCAATGCATTTTCACCCTGCACACATGTCTCTATACATCATTAGATTTCTAAATAGAGTTCTGTAACTATCGAGGGTACAGGTTCCTGCACCCGTGTCTCTATACATCATTATATTTCTAAATAGAGTTCTGTAACTATCGAGGGTACCAGTGGGGGTTACTGCACACTTGCCTCTATACATCAAAAGATTTCTAAATAGAGTTTTGTAACTATCGAGGGTACCGGTAGGGGTTACTGCACCTGTGTCTCTATTCATCATTATATTTCTAAATAGAGTTCTGTAACTATCGAGGGAACAGGTAGGGGTTACTGCACACTTGTCTCTATACATCATTATATTTCTAAATAGAGTTCTGTAACTATCGAGGGTACAGGTAGGGGTTACTGCACCCGTGTCTCTATACATCATTAGATTTCTAAATAGAGTTCTGTAACTATCCAGGGTACAGGTAGGGGTTACTGCACACGTGTCTCTATACATCATTAGATTTCTAAATAGAGTTCTGTAACTATTGAGGGTACAGGTAGGGGTTACTGCACACGTGTCTCTATACATCATTAGATTTCTAAATAGAGTTCTGTAACTATCGAGGGTACAGGTAGGGGTTACTGCACACGTGTCTCTATACATCATTAGATTTCTAAATAGAGTTCTGTAACTATCGAGGGTACAGGTAGGGGTTACTGCACACGTGTCTCTATACATCATTAGATTTCTAAATAGAGTTCTGTAACTATCGAGGGTACAGGTAGGGGTTACTGCACACGTGTCTCTATACATCATTAGATTTCTAAATAGAGTTCTGTAACTATCGAGGGTACAGGTAGGGGTTACTGCACACGTGTCTCTATACATCATTAGATTTCTAAATAGAGTTCTGTAACTATCGAGGGTACAGGTAGGGGTTACTGCACACGTGTCTCTATACATCATTAGATTTCTAAATAGAGTTCTGTAACTATCGAGGGTACAGGTAGGGGTTACTGCACACGTGTCTCTATACATCATTAGATTTCTAAATAGAGTTCTGTAACTATCGAGGGTACAGGTAGGGGTTACTGCACACGTGTCTCTATACATCATTAGATTTCTAAATAGAGTTCTGTAACTATCGAGGGTACAGGTAGGGGTTACTGCACACGTGTCTCTATACATCATTAGATTTCTAAATAGAGTTCTGTAACTATCGAGGGTACAGGTAGGGGTTACTGCACCCGTGTCTCTATACATCATTAGATTTCTAAATAGAGTTCTGTAACTATCGAGGGTACAGGTAGGGGTTACTGCACACGTGTCTCTATACATCATTAGATTTCTAAATAGAGTTCTGTAACTATCGAGGGTACAGGTAGGGGTTACTGCACACGTGTCTCTATACATCATTAGATTTCTAAATAGAGTTCTGTAACTATCGAGGGTACAGGTAGGGGTTACTGCACCCGTGTCTCTATACATCATTAGATTTCTAAATAGAGTTCTGTAACTATCGAGGGTACAGGTAGGGGTTACTGCACACGTGTCTCTATACATCATTAGATTTCTAAATAGAGTTCTGTAACTATCGAGGGTACAGGTAGGGGTTACTGCACCCGTGTCTCTATACATCATTAGATTTCTAAATAGAGTTCTGTAACTATCGAGGGTACAGGTAGGGGTTACTGCACACGTGTCTCTATACATCATTAGATTTCTAAATAGAGTTCTGTAACTATCGAGGGTACAGGTAGGGGTTACTGCACACGTGTCTCTATACATCATTAGATTTCTAAATAGAGTTCTGTAACTATCGAGGGTACAGGTAGGGGTTACTGCACACGTGTCTCTATACATCATTAGATTTCTAAATAGAGTTCTGTAACTATCGAGGGTACAGGTAGGGGTTACTGCACACGTGTCTCTATACATCATTAGATTTCTAAATAGAGTTCTGTAACTATCGAGGGTACAGGTAGGGGTTACTGCACACGTGTCTCTATACATCATTAGATTTCTAAATAGAGTTCTGTAACTATCGAGGGTACAGGTAGGGGTTACTGCACACGTGTCTCTATACATCATTAGATTTCTAAATAGAGTTCTGTAACTATCGAGGGTACAGGTGGGGGTTACTGCACCCGTGTCTCTATACATCATTAGATTTCTAAATAGAGTTCTGTAACATATAACATCTTCACTACCTACAAGTCTCTATATACACATAGTAATACTATAATAAGGAGTAAGGACTAGTATATAGATATCTGAAACAGGCTATAACATCTTCACTACCTACAAGTCTCTATATACACATTGGAATACTATAATAAGGAGTAAGGAATAGTATATAGATTTCTGAAACAGGCTATAACATCTTCACTACCTACATATGTCTCTATATACATATATAGTTATACTATAATAAGGAGTAAGGACTAGTATATAGATATCTGAAACAGGCTATAACAACTTCACTACCCACAAGTCTCTTATACATATATTTATACTATAAAAAGGAGTTAGGACTAGTATATAGATATCTGAAACAGGCTTTAACAACTTCACTACATACAAGTCTCTATATACATAAAGTTCTCCTAAAATAAGGAGTTAGGACTAGTATATAGATTTCTGAAACAGGCTATAACATCTTCACTACCTACATATGTCTCTATATACATAAAGTAATACTATAATTAAGGAGTAAGTACTAGTATAAAGATATCTGAAACAGGTTACAACATCTTTGCTACCAACATGTACCTTTATACATAGAAATACTTTTTAATTAAAAGGGTCTAGTATTTAGATATCTGAAATAGGTTATAACCAAAGTTCATGCATGCCAAGATGCAAGATAAATTCCCCACTGGTATTGACAGTTCTCAGTTCAATTGAGAGGACAGCGTTAGTTAACCCCATAGTGAATTCTGTTAGTATGATATTACAATCATCAGATGGTGGGCTATTCAATCGCCCTTCGCCCATTGTCTGTCGTTCGTCTTTCATTCCATCATTCTGTCCGCCTTTAACAATTCTTGGTAGTGTATTTCTCAGAAAGGACTATGTATGGTTTGGGCATGTTTTGGCCCCCAAATGCATAAAAATTCAAAACCTTTTAAGTTTAAAAGAACTTTGAAATGACTGTTTCTTTTATTATGTTTCCCCTTCGAATGAAGGGAGACATATTGTATTGGGCCAAAAAAAAAAATCACTTGGTTCTCAGGCCATTTTTTTTTCAAAATAGATGAGGCAGGGAGGTGTTTTTTTTTCCATTTTACATAGCAAAAATGAGACGAGGGTGATTTTTTTTTTTGTGTAGTTTATAAAACGTTCATTGTGGGCATTACCTTGTCAAATGTGTCCGTTTTTTGTCGCCCAACACACACAGATACTTTAGCAGAACAGAGTTTATCTGGGAACGACCACGTTCCGAGATCGATGTTACCGTTTTACCGTAAGCCTCCGAAAATCACCCCACGATGTTCCAGGGAAGAATCACGGACCCCCCATTCCTTATTTGTACCGAAATGAGCGCCATTTGTACACGAGGTTAATAAGTCATAATCTTTTTAACGCTTGCCGGTATATCAATTAAACGTTTTCGGGACTTGTGTGACTAACGAGTAAAAACGACATGCAAACCAATTTTCCGGATTTTTTTAAGACGGTGCCTGGCGCATTCACAATTTTTTTTTAATGCTTTCACGATAAAATCGGCAATGTGGTGCCCGTAAAAGAAATGCGCGCGGGCCTGAGAACCAATTTTTATTTTTTTTGGCATTAGTACTGGTTCTTCTGGTTCTGGTTCTGGTTCTTCTAATCGAACTTGACTTGGCCATAACTTTTTAACTGTTAAAGATATCTTGATGAAACTTTAGGTATGCATGCATCACCCACAGGAGGTGTGCAGTGCACTAGAAGTAGGTCACTGTGACCTTCACCTAAAGGTCAAATAAAGATATCTTGATCAAGCTTGAAGTATATCTGCATCACCCACAGAAGGTGGGCATGCAGTGCAATTGAATTAGGTCTTGTGCTTCACTATATACAGAGTTATGGCCCTTTGTTTATTTTTAATACCGAAGTTTGACCGGAGCATAAGTTCCATGTTATTTCACCACCGTTGACCATGCTTACCATATTTATGAATCTTTGGAAGGGGGAATTTCTCGCACTAAAATCAGATTTTATACCCCACTATATACAGAGTTATGGCCCTTTGATTATTTTTAATACCGAAGTTTGTCCACGGCATAACTTCTAAACCATTAAAGATATCTTAATCAGACCTGAAGTATACCTGAATCACTTAAAGAAGGTGTGCAGTGCACTAGAATTAGGTCTCGTGCCCCACTATCTACAGAGTTATGGTCCTTTGTTTAATTTTAATACCGAAATTTGTCCACAGCATTACTTCTAAACTATTTAAGATATCTTAATCAAACCTGAAGTATACCTGAATCACTTAAAGAAGGTGTGCAGTGCACTAGAATTAGGTCTCGTGCCCCACTATATACAGAGTTATGGTCCTTTGTTTAATTTTAATACCGAAGTTTGTCCACAGCATAAGTTCCATGTTCTTTCACTTATGTTGACCAAACTTGGGAAGGGGGAATTCCTCGCACTAAAATCAGGTTTAGTGCTCCATTATATACAGAGTTATGGCCTTTTATTTATTTTTAATACAGATGTTTGTCCACAGCCTAATTTCCATGTTATTTCACCTACGTTGACCAAACTTGCTAAAGTTTTAATGTACCGGGTATCGTGGGAAGTAGGAGTGTTGCATTCTAAATTCGGGTCTTGCGCCCCACTATATTATACAGTTATAGAATGGGTATGAGGGAAATAGCACATTTATGGTCCCCTGAGGTGAAAAACTATTTCCCGAGGCGAAATAACTACAATTTAACTCGGTTAATTGAATAATCAGCGAATTATTCAATTTACCCGAGTTCCATTGTAGTTATCACCTGATAACCTAAAATAAATAGAGAGTTAATCCTTATTTTTCAGAAAGTATTTGATGGATCTTTCTCAAATTTGTTATGCAGATTCCAATTGGTCATTAATTAAATGTGCATGGCTACTTTTGTAACTAATGGAATAGACAAAGGGGTTGACAGGTGGCCATCTTGCATTTTGAAAGTTAAAGTTTGTTATTGCTAGTTCTCAGAAAGTACTTTAGGGATCTTTCTCAAATCTGATATGTTGGTTCCCCTTGGTCCTTAGTTGTGCATGTTGTATTTTTAAGAGTGATCATAAAAACAACATGGCTGCATGAAGAATTTAACAGATCTTTCTCATATTGCAATGATCGGTTACATTTATTTCACTTTAAGTACTGTACTAGTAAACATGTGAAACTACAAACTTCTATGAAAGGTAGTCTTTTATACACAGCAGTATGAAGTTTAGATAAAAAGTTACCTCAAGGTCCATTTACTGTTTACATGACTTGATCAAATAGATAAGAGAATAGAATAGAAAAGATCAAACTGATACAGAACTAATTAAAATGGTAAAATGGTATCTCTTGTTCAGATACTGCAGGGAATATCCTGAAAGCTGAGAGTAAGTGACTAATTTCAGCCATTTCAGTTGATTTTCAAGGGGCTATAATGTGCAAAATTCTCTCTCTAACCTCTCATTCAATAAAGTTTGATAGAGTTAGTCACCATCCTTATGTATGTTATCTACTGTCCCCAGGACACAGAGAGCACACAAACATATACAGACACAAGACTTTTATTAGTTTGTTAACAGTTACAGTGTGATTTGTGAATTGTGATGATTCCGTTTCTTTTCCAGTTTGATTCAAAGGTTTCTATACATTGGAGAGAAGACCATGTATTGATAAAAGGGAAAGATAAAGAGCTGGTAAAGGCTGCAACAGTACAGGTATGTCAGTTATATATCCCAACACACCTCGGTAACAGGTACGTCAGTTATATATCCCAACACACCCCTTCAACAGGTACACCAGTTATATATCCCAACACACCTCAGTAACAGGTACACCAGTTATATATCCCAACACACCTCTGTAAAAGGTACACCAGTTATATATCCCAACACCCCTCAGTAACAGGTACATCAGTTATATATCCCAACACTCCTCAGTAACAAGTACGTCAGTTATATATCCCAACACACCTCAGTAACAGGTACGTCAGTTATATATCCCAAAACACCTCGGTAACAGGTACACCAGTTATATATCCCGACACACCTCAGTAACAGGTACACCAGTTATATATCCCAACACACCCCAGTAACAGGTATGTCAGTTATATATCCTAACACACCTCGGTAACAGGTACGTCAGTTATATATCCCTACACACCTCAGAAAAGGTATGTCAGTTATACATCTCAACACACCTCGGTAACAGGTACGTCAGTAAAATATCCCAACACACCTCAGTAACAGGTATGTCAGTTATACATCCCAACACACCTCAGTAACAGGTAGACCAGTTATATATCCCAACACTCCTCAGTAACAGGTACGTCAGATATATATCCCAACACACCTCAGTAACAGGTATGTCAGTTATACATCTCAACACACCTCGGTAACAGGTACGTCAGTTATATATCCCAACACACCTCGGTAACAGGTACACCAGTTATATATCCCAACACACCTCAGTAACAGGTACGTCAGTTATATATCCCAACACACCTCGGTAACAGGTACGTCAGTTATATATCCCAACACACCTCAGTAACAGGTACACCAGTTATATATCCCAACACACCTCAGTAACAGGTACATCAGTTATATATCCCAACACACCTCAGTAACAGGTACATCAGTTATATATCCCAACACACCTCAGTAACAGGTACATCAGTTATATATCCCAACACACCTCAGTAACAGGTACATCAGTTATATATCCCAACACACCTCAGTAACAGGTACATCAGTTATATATCCCAACACACCTCAGTAACAGGTACATCAGTTATATATCCCAACACACCTCAGTAACAGGTACATCAGTTATATATCCCAACACACCTCAGTAACAGGTACATCAGTTATATATCCCAACACACCTCAGTAACAGGTACACCAGTTATATATCCCAACACACCTCAGTAACAGGTACATCAGTTATATATCCCAACACACCTCAGTAACAGGTACATCAGTTATATATCCCAACACACCTCAGTAACAGGTACATCAGTTATATATCCCAACACACCTCAGTAACAGGTACATCAGTTATATATCCCAACACACCTCAGTAACAGGTACATCAGTTATATATCCCAACACACCTCAGTAACAGGTACATCAGTTATATATCCCAACACACCTCAGTAACAGGTACATCAGTTATATATCCCAACACACCTCAGTAACAGGTACATCAGTTATATATCCCAACACACCTCAGTAACAGGTACATCAGTTATATATCCCAACACACCTCAGTAACAGGTACATCAGTTATATATCCCAACACACCTCAGTAACAGGTACATCAGTTATATATCCCAACACACCTCAGTAACAGGTACATCAGTTATATATCCCAACACACCTCAGTAACAGGTACATCAGTTATATATCCCAACACACCTCAGTAACAGGTACATCAGTTATATATCCCAACACACCTCAGTAACAGGTACATCAGTTATATATCCCAACACACCTCAGTAACAGGTACATCAGTTATATATCCCAACACACCTCAGTAACAGGTACATCAGTTATATATCCCAACACACCTCAGTAACAGGTACATCAGTTATATATCCCAACACACCTCAGTAACAGGTACATCAGTTATATATCCCAACACACCTCAGTAACAGGTACATCAGTTATATATCCCAACACACCTCAGTAACAGGTACATCAGTTATATATCCCAACACACCTCAGTAACAGGTACACCAGTTATATATCCCAACACACCTCAGTAACAGGTACACCAGTTATATATCCCAACACACCTCAGTAACAGGTACACCAGTTATATATCCCAACACACCTCAGTAACAGGTTTACCAATTATATATTCCAACACATCTCAGTAACAGGCCCCATCTGTTGGCATTTTTAACTTCATGAGATAATTTCTCTATAATCCCATATTCACTACCTTACATGACTATTATTACCATTTCACAGTTTTCTACAACTTTTTGTAGGCTTTACCTGAATACTCAAGTGACCTATTCTACGACTCTTGGTCTGTCTTAATCTTTTATTCATTGTCTGTTATCAATTTAAATTCTCAACATTTCCTTCGAAAAGGTACAGTGCTGTGCCAAAAGCGAAGATAATTTTCACAACGTCATTTTACTTCCGGGTTACTTATTTTGATTAAAAGGGGCATTTCTCAGAAAGTATGTAAGGGTTATGCCCCTTCTTCCACACATTTACTCAAGCGATGCTATGCAAAGGGTCATAGGTCACCGGAAGTGATTGGTCGTCTGCAAAATAAACAGTCGTCTGTTGTAAACAGATGCCGCCCAAACGGAGAGAACTGTCTCTATCAGAGAAAAGTGTCATCAAATCTTTGTATGAATTAGGAAGAAAGCCAAATCAAATACCTGAACAAACAGGACACCCTCTTTCAATAATTTATGGCGTTTTGCGACGTATTCGTGAAGAAGGATCAATTGAAAACAGAGAGAGAAGTGACCGACCCTCCAAGCTCACTGAACGGCATTCTCGTAAACTTTATGGTATCGCTAAATCAAACAGAAGGAGATCTCTGGGTGAAATTACTAATATTTTTAATGAGTTTAGACCCGAAGCCATATCTAAACGTTCCGTGCAAAAAACAGTATACGAGGCAAATTTTAACAAGCCTGTTGTGCAAAAGGANCGTGGACAATGACTGTCTTTGATGATCTGGGGTTGTATAACCTACAGAGGGGTAGGTACTTTAACTGTTGTAGATGGTAACATAAAATGATGAAAAAAACATAGACATTGTTGACAACTTTGTGTGGCCTGTTATAGCACGACATTCCCCAAATAACGACTGTGTGTTTCAAGATGACAACGCTCCGGTACATCGTGCTCGTGTGGTGAAAAATAATATTGAGGAAAATAGACTCAATGTCATGGAATGGCCAGCCCAGAGTCCAGACCTTAATATAATTGAAAACGTTTGGAGAAAAATTAAGACTGAACTTCAGAAACAAACCCACAACATCACCTCTCGTGCAATTATGGAGGATGCAATTCACACAATATGGACAGAAATATCCCTGGAATTCACCCAAAAACTGTACAAATCAATCCCAAAGCGCATGAAAGCAGTAATCAAAGCCAAAAGATGTATCACAAAGTATTATGGAAGTTTAAGTCATGATAATTACGTAGCAAATGACTTATAATTTCTGAGGTGTCAAGCTGACAAAAATGGCAGCCATCTTGGATTTATCTTCACTTTTGGCACAGCACTGGAGCTGGGATGGAGAGATAGCAAGGTTGTTCAAATGAATGATCTTGACCCATTTTTCAAGTTCAAATGGGTTGAATATGTTATAATATGCCATTAGATAATTGGAATAGAGGGCTAATAATATGAAGATAACAGAAATGAGATGGGTTTGTTGACAACATTAGATAGTAAGTGATCCATAAATGCCATTTTTTACCTATTGTTTGTCCCTACAGGCCCTTTGGACCACTACATTGTCCCTAGAGGCCCTTTGGACCTCTTGATTATCCAGAGAGGCCTTTTGGACCACTTGTTTGTTCCTATAGGACCTTTTGATCTCTTGATTGTCCCTAGAGGCCCTTTTGACCTCTTGATTGTCCCTAAAGGCCCCTTTGAACTCTTGTTTGTCCCTAAAAGCACTTTGGACTTCTTGTTTGCCCTTAGAGGCCTTTTTAACTTCTTGTTTGTCTCTAGCGGTCATTTGTACCACCTATTTGTCCCTATAGACCCCTTGAACCCCTTGATTGTCCCTAGATTGTCCCTAGAGGCCCTTTGGATCACATATTTTTCCCTTAAGCCCATTGAGCCACTTTGTTTGTCTCTATATGCCCTTTGGACTACCTGTTTGTCCCTATAGCTAGAGGCCCTTTGGACCTCTTGATTATCCCGAGAGGCCCTTTGGACCTCTTGATTATCCCGAGAGGCCTTTTGGACCTTTTGATTGTCCCGAGAGGCCTTTTGGACCACCTGTTTGATGTAAGAAGTTATTTGTGTTTTTTTCTCTCTCTGCAGGTCAAAGAACAATTAAAGGAAACCGTGGGCGAACTTGAATCTTCTCGTTTAGTTGAAGTGTAAGTGTTAATATTACCTACATATGATACCTAACAATTAATGTTAGACTCTTTGGTGGTAGAGTGTTGACTCTGTGTTAATTTGGATGATTCTGATGATACCTATAGCTACAAGTAGGGAGTGTACTCCTATAGCTAAAAAGTGGGGTGTACTCACCTTACCTATAATAATAATAATAATAATCTTTATTTAACGGCGTGTACAATTGTCAACAAACATAAGCTCTCTAGAGGTTTTATTACGACGCCGCAAAGGGAACAAATGGTGTTTGGATGGTGTAGGAAAACCCACGGGGGGAAAACCACCGTGCCATCGGAGGGATAACAACTAACCCTATCAGACATCACTCTCTTATTTCCACCACCGCTGGGGATCAAACCAAAATTCTTGGGAGAGCGAGTGGTCTGAAGCTCACACTTGATAGCATACAGTAGTAGAATGACTGTGCGCGTTAGCGATCACGGCTACCGAGGCACCTGGTGGTACCTATATATAGCTACAAGTAGGGAGTGTACTCACCTTACCTGGTGATATATCTATAGCTAGAAGAAGGGAGTGTACATACCTCACCTGGTGATATACCTATAACTAGAGGTAGGGACTGTACTCCCCTTACCTGGTGATACCTATAGATAGAAATAGGGAGTCTACATACCTCACCTGGTGATATACCTATAGCTAGAGGTAGGGAGTGTACTCACCCAACCTGGTGATATCTATAGCTAGAAATAGGGAGTGTACATACCTCACCTGGTGATATACTTATAGATAGAAATAGGGAGTGTACATACCTCACCTGGTGATATACCTATAACTAGAGGTAGGGAGTGTACTCACCCAACCTGGTGATATCTATAGCTAGAAATAGGGAGTGTACTCACCCAACCTGGTGATATCTATAGCTAGAAATAGGGAGTGTACTCACCCAAACTGGTGATATCTATAGCTAGAAGTAGGGAGTTTACTCACCCAACCTGGTGATATCTAAAGCTAGAAGAAGGGAACATACTCACCTTACCTGGTGATACCTATAGTTAGAAGTAGAGAGTGTACTCACCCAACCTGGTGATATCTATAGCTAGAAATAAGGAATGTACTCACCTTACCTTGTGATAATCCATACTTACCAACCCAGAGAAAATGTTCAGAAAAAGGGAGACTAACAACATTCTATGCATTATATTATCACTACTGGAATAGAACAAGACTGATATGGAAGGCCCTTCGCCTGTTGTCCGATTCTTTTGTTGGTCCTGTACTAACATCTGATTTTATATATATACAACTTACATGCATGTTTCATATATGTATTGTCAGTAAAATACTTTTGAATATGAAATCTGAAGTCTCGTAAAAGTAGGAAAGATAGTAAATTTATATTCAATGAGAGCTTTACTTTGACACAGTGTTCCAACACCAGCAGTGCAGAAACACAGCTTCTTTACAGCAAAAGTGGATGTCCCAAAAGAGAATGTAAACACAATTGTTGGTTATATTATTGGTGCAAAAGGACGTAACATACGGCACCTTGGAGACCAGGTAAGTGTTTCCTTAGAACCTAACCCTTTCACCACTGTGGACCATAATGGACTCATCCTTATCAATGCATGGTAGAGTTTACTAAAGTTACATAGGGGTAAAAGGGTTCAAACAAATGAAACAATTGTTGTTCCTTCTGTCAACGAAGACGCTAGAGAGTTGAATGTACCTCAAATGATATCAAAGTTTTACTTTCTACATAAACAATCTACGTATTAAACGTGTTGCAATGTTTAAGACCTGACTTATCAAGCTATGACTGAATGGGCAATTTGTATATTTTACCTGTACAACTATGTGACGAAATTGTATATTTTTTATACACACACAGCACAATGTTATACTGGTAATAAAAAATGAATCCCAAAATGTTTTCCCTGACAAGGAATCTGAAATAAACGCTGAGGCAACAGAATAAATAAGATTTGAGGAAAATTAATTCATAAAAAAACAGATCTGGGGACGGTAACAACAGTCTGGGCTGGGGTCAGAGCTGGGGACAGTAACAACAGTCTGGGCTGGGGACAGTAACAACGGACTGGGCTGGGGAGAGTAACAACAGTCTGGTCCGGGGAGAGTAACAACTGTCTGGTCTGGCGACAGTAACAACAGCCTTGACTGGAAACTGTAACAACAGACCGGTCTGGGGACAGTAACAACAGTCTGGGCTGTGGCCAGTAACAACAGTCTGGGCTGGGGACAGTAAAAACAGACTGGGCTGGGGACGGTTACATCAGTCTGGGCTGGGGACAGTAACAACAGTCTGGTCTGGGGACAGTAACAACAGACTGGGCTGGGGACAGTAACAACAGTCTGGACTGGGGACAGTAACAACAGACTGGGCTGGGGAAAGTAACAACAGTCTGGGCTGGGGACAGTAACAAGAGACTGGGCTGGGGACAGTAACAACAGACTGGGCTTGGGACAGTAACAACAGACTGGGCTGGGGACAGCAACAACAGTCTGGGCTGGGGACAGTAACAACAGACTGGGCTGGGGAAAGTAACAACAGTCTGGGCTGGGGACAGTAACAATAGACTGGGCTAGGGACAGAAACAACCGTCTGGGCTGGGGACAGTAACAACAGACTGGGCTGGGGACAGTAACAATAGACTGGGCTAGGGACAGAAACAACCGTCTGGGCTGGGGACAGTAACAACAGACTGGGCTGGGGACAGTAACCACAGACTGGGCTGGGGACAGGAACAACAGACTGGGCTGGGGACAGTAACAACAGACTGGGCTGGGGACGGTTACATCAGTCTGGGCTGGGGACAGTAACAACAGTCTGGGCTGGGGACAGTAACAACAGACTGGGCTGGGGACAGTAACAAAAGTCTGGGCTGGGGACAGTAACAATAGTCTGGGTTGGGGACAGTAACAACAGTCTGGGTTGGGGACAGTAACAACAGACCGGTCTGGGGACTGTAACAACAGTCTGGGCTGGGGACAGTAACAACAGTCTGGGCTGGGGACAGTTATTACAGTCTTGGCTGGGGACAGTAACAATAGTCTTGGTTGGCCCTAGGTAAAACAAAACAATCCGGTATAAAGACTGCAGGAACAGAATAGATCTACTTCAAAACTATCGTTTAAAATTATAAATTGGCATGTGATACAATGGAGGGTACTGTAGGTTCCCTGAATAATATTTGACGTGTTCTTGATCTCTTGTTAAACCCTTTCACCCCTACATAACTGTAGTAGACTCTACCATGCATTGATGGGGATGAATCCATTATGATCTACAGTGGTGAAAGGGTTTAGTGTTCTGTTGTAATTTCAGGACAGTTATGTTTTAAAGTTCCAAAAGAAATCAGTAAATTATATTGCTATTTCAGGCTGGTTTTGGTCTAACGGTATCATCTGGTCCTGATTACGTTGAGGTGAAAGTTAATGATGAGGCAAATCTGGAGAAAGCTGTACAGTTGGTAGGTATTACCATATTTAAATAGGATATTTTGTGTTACGCTTAAAGTGAATGTTTCGTGTTACCACCCCTCTCACAAAGTACCTTTTAGCTTGTGGTTTGAGATCTGTAAGCATTTCAGCTTAACTTATTCACCCCTGAAATTTCATAATGAACTATTCCAACCTTTGAATTGGAAGAGTTCAATTGTGTCTTCAGGGGTGCCTGACACAAGGTTGAATCACAGAAACCACTTTAACAGGAGACAGCCAGCTTGAGATTTCAAACTTGAACTTTCCCAACTCTAGAAGAATGTTCTGCCAATTACCTGGTAAGCTTCCTGGTCACTGGCAATGGACCCAATCACTTGAAACTAAATGCAATGAACCATGTATTTAAGCAATGAATAATTTAGCAAATGTTGTTATGGTCCTTTAACACACATTGCTATTGATGACAAACTTAATAGAGCCTGGAAGGGCTTAAGGAAAGTTTATCAGCAATAGAAACGTGTGTTATACGACCAGTATGTTATATTTACATTTAGACAGAGTAGCTATGCTTTATTTAGTTTTTGACCAGTATATCAAGTGTTGACAACAATGAAATTGATGAAGTCACAATAGAGATTGATGAAGTTACAATAGCAAGTGTTGTTATAGTCTCATAACAACATTTACCTCCGCATTACATTGCAAATATGGCGTCCAGCGTCAATATTTTACTTTAAACAACTTCTTCTCAGTGAACAAAAGGCCTAGGGTGATGATATTTGGCTAGAAGCAAACTGGGATGAAGGGCTAACAAATTTGTTAAAACAAATGACCTTCACCTATTTTCAAGGTCACAGGGGTCAAATATGTAAAAAAACAACTTTAAATTACTTCTTCTGAATAACCAAAAGGCTTAGGATGATGATACATGTACTTGGCCAGTAACATGCTGGGATGAAGGGCTACCAAAGGGCTGGTTTCCAAAACGGCCCCTTCTCAGATTCAAATTTCCTGTTGGTGGTGCATTGCCCATGCCGTTGTGGTCACAAATCTATAAAGTATAAAGATTTAGGTCACTTGGTTTATTTTTAATGGCTCCTCAAAGTTGTACCTTTCAGAAGCTGTCTAAGTGTTGATAAAATGTGCATGTTATGTAAAATATTAATGAAAATCTAATCAAATGATGGTCACCGTAAAGAATACATTCATGGCATGATTGTGACAAAAAATCATGTTTCCATCGCGCCATTTGGCTGTTTTATGGAAGAAACAATCTCAAAAATGCCATTTTCGATGATAACATTTTAGACACAAAAACTGTGTTTTTTAGAGAATACACCCTTTTATGGGCGTTGGATGCAAACCAATTTTTATCCTATTAAACAGTACGTAATATGCTATTGATGAGAGGAAAAATCATCAAAATGTAAGTGGTGGAACATTTTCAAATGTTGGGTTGAATTAGCCTATGGTTGAATTGCCGATTTTCGACTTTCTTTAGATAATTAACAAAAAAACGAGAGTATTTGCTCGGTATGTTGAGAATATGTACACAGATATGAAAAAAAGTGAGAGAAACACTTTTTCATAAAAAAAATCCAAGATGGCTACTTCACAAGTCCCCGTGGTTGAAGACATTGGCTGACAAATAGACAGAACAACAAACAAAACGTGTTCCTTATGATTTTGGTTGGTTTTCGCATTTACGGGAGTGTTCATAGCTACGGGCGATTGTATAATACCTATATTTATAAGTTTGGTTAGTCACATGGTAACGGGGATCTTTCATATCGAGCCCCAAACATACTTTCGACATATGCACTCCGTTGCCGCATGGAAAACTATTTCAAGTTTTGTCGGAATTTCTTTACCTGTGGTTGTAATGGTCGAGGGTTTTCCAGCGTCCTGTAATACCCAAGGTAGTACAAGATACTGGAGATGTGCGCACACATTCCCATCGTTCTCTCTCCAACTGGGCACTGGCAGTAGTAGTCCTTTATTGGGGCCTCAACATCGGGTGAAACGGTGAACCGTATCCAAACGTTATATTTCGTTTGGCTTTTGTGTCGAGAATGTATTTGACATCGGAGAAGGTCTGGGGAGTGCTGGTAAAGCCACACCTCATAGTCTCCGTCATCACTTAAATGTTCGGCGATGTAACCAGGAGCCAGAGATATCTGATACGTTCCACACGTAATGGTTCTCAAGTAATCAAGATCGAGACGGGGAAACAGTACGGAAGATGCATCCATCTTGACAAACTCGGACCTTGCCCGTCTAGATAGATCCGGATCTGTCTTGACTCTCTGAGCTAAACCATTCGGTGTTGTCAAACGGTCCTTCATACGTTCAGCCATTAGCCTATCTTTGGCATCTCTCTCTGGAGATCTCTGGTAGATCGGTCCTCTAATACCATTCAGACAGGCTGTGACGGTTCGAAGCAAAGCCTCGATGACATTGATAAAGCTGTTAGACACCAATTGCGTTCGGAAGAACGTCCAGTGTTTCAGACGACCATGATAGGATTCCACAATCCACCTCGATTTGGTGATAGTTCTGTCAAGATTTGCTTGGACGTCAGAATGTTGACTTTGACCGGGTTTCAGGTATGACGGCATGCTAGCATTGAGGCCAGAGGCTTCGAGAACTGGTAGGACATCTCTAAAACCTCGGTCAACGACAACGTTGTCGTCTGGTTGTAGCCAAGTAACTAGCTTGTCCATGACTTTTTTTGTAATTGTAGCATCATTTTCGCTGCCAGTGAATGGTCCTACTGTGTCCAGAATGTAGCCATCTGGTAAGGCGATGCTCATGAATTTGAGATAGTTTCTCTTCTTCTGGCCACAGTAGGACATTCTCTGGAGCTTGTGGTCGGAGCTTTTCTGGATATAAATATAGGTGCCATCTAATATGGCAGTGGCTTTATCTCCAAAAAATGCTTCTGAAAAGACAGTATTGTGCCCGAGCAACTGTTCTCTTGTCAAGTGATCCGGACCTAGAAATTGTGGGACTATCGATGTGTCTAATGCCTGTTCTATGGAGTGGAAAGTTTTGGACACACTTGACTTGGAAATTCCAAAAAGAGAAGAACACTGACTCCAGGAAATGTCGGATTTCAGTTTTACCCAATACAGTAATAGAGCATCGTGTGTAGTCTTGGTATATATACCAGATGAAAGATATGGGGAACAGTGCGAGTGGATTTCGAGGAACTGATCTTTGGACCAACCTGTCCAGGCCATGCATGCCGAGTCATCAAGAGAAGAAAAGCTTATTGTAAACGCAGACTGGTTCTGTGAAAGGACGTGCGACACCTCTAGGAGGTCATTAATGATTTCGGACGATTTTGATGGTAACTGAGATTCCAAGGAACCTCTACCATCAAGGACAACCTCTGTAGACGGATCTAAGTCGTTACCAATAAGGTGAATGGAGCAGACGCGGGATGAGGTGGGACACCACAGTTTGTGTGAATAGATCAGGTGATGTCTTGCACGTTTTGGTAAGACTGATGATTTTGTTCCATTTCTTGCAAAGGTAACAAGACAGAGACAGCATTTTTTGTGTGAAGATGATCCATTCAAAAGATCATGAAGGGTCAGCAACGGCAGGATATGGGACGGGGAGTCGTCTTCTTCCTCTATTTCCTGGTTCTGCTCGGGTTCAGGTTCAGGCTGATTTTTGTTCCGAAGATACTTCATGTAGCACTTCTGGCAAATAAGTGCTTGTTCCTTTGCTGACATCAATCCTTGTTGCACCAGCGTATCTAGGAGCCATTTATATTGTGGACTATTTACATTGCGTGCACTTCTGTTCTTATTGCCACTACGTTTCTTGAAGTATACTTGACACCCTTCTCCAACACATTTACCCTCCATCTTGAAACAATAACGATTGGTTTATGAAGCGTCGATAAAGTAACAAAATAGCAAGCCACCGATGATTGCTGTAAACAGCTAATACTTAGTAGTTTGGTACAATTATGCGAAAATGTGTGATAAATAACGAACAACTAATTACACAAAATAACAAGACAATATAATAAATCACATTCAATACCTCCAAGAAGCGCAGAATTGATTGATTACTTAGAACAAAATAAAGTATTTCATATGGATAATCTATCTATTCGATGTGGCGTGGTCGGCAGGCACAAAGAAAGTGAGACAAGTCAGGGTCCCAACCCTGACAGAGCCACAACGCTTTGGAGATGGGACAATAAAACAAGGAAAGTGAGACAAGAATAGCTAGCGTCGAGTCAATGATTCCGTAAACGTATAGACAAAGACAAGAAGATACGGATAAATGTACAAGGCCACACGATCAGAAAATTCAGAAGAGGACAACTTGAGATAGAACAGTATTCATGTATCAGGGTGTCCTCAGTGTAAATCTTTATATCGATACTGTTTATTTAGTCGTTACACATCATAAAACTGTCATGAAAATATCCGCTCTGATATTCAATATAAAAGTTTGTATATAATAAGCTATATAATAGGGTTTCAGACAAGGTTGTTACTCATTTCCCCTTTTCTTTCAATTTACAACCACATTCAGGCGGCGATATGAGAACGTTCCACCACATGGAATTAGCTGATTTTTGGTACACATATGAAACAAGTAAAGCTCTATCCGATTTTCTGATGGAAATTTGCATCCAAAACTATATAACGGGAGAAAATTGCAATTTTATGGCATTTTTCTTCATAATTGTGTCTCTGCAAGTGCATTTTCATCCGAGAATTTTTTTTTTTATGTTTTATGAATAAACACGATGTTTTGGAAATATTTATCAAAAGAAATTTATACTATGTTGCGAATTACAATTTCGAGATAACCTTCTTTTATTTACGAACTTATGTCTTTGATGCTGAAATTGACAACTTTATAAAAATACATTTTCAATGAAATTATGGTATCTGGGTGTCGGAAAGGTGTAAAATTATTCTTCGGAAAAGAAAAAAACAGTAGTTGAGCTAGGTAAGAAATTATACGGGGGCAGGCTCCTATGGAGAATTAACATTACTGGAAACAGGCCCATTGTTCAAATGAATGACCTTGACTTATTTTCAAGGTCACAGGGATCGAATATGTTGAAAACCTATAAAACAACTTCCCCTGAATAACCAAAAGGCCTAGGATGATGATATTTGGCCAGTAGCATTCTTGGATGAAAGCCTACCTAGTTTCTTCAAATGAATGACCATTATCCATTTTCAAGGTCACAGGTGTCAAATATGTTAAAATCTTTTTAACGACTTCTCCTGAATAACCAAGAGGCCTAGGGTGATGATGTTTGGCCAGTAACATAGTCTGTTCAAATGAATGACCTTTACTTATATTCAAGGTCACAGGGTCAAATGTGTTCAAAATCTTTAAACAACTTTTTCTGAATAACGATGAGGCCCAGAATTTTGATATTTGGATAAAGAGCTATCCAGTCATTTGAATGACCTTGACCCAATTTCAAGGTCACATTTGGTCAGACATGTAAATGACATAATGCCATAGTCATGAATACTGATATTTTGTCTGTAGCTTTATTTAAGATCACCTTTTAGGTTACAAGTGTGAGATTAATACCAGGTGAGCGATGCAAGCCCATTGGGCCTGTTGTTATTATTAGCTCATCTGGCCCGAAGGGCCAAGCGAGCTTATGCCATGGTGTGGCGTCCGTCTGTCGTCAGTCCGGCGTCAACTTTTTACTTTAAACAACTTCTTAACTCTTTCCGTACCGTTGTCGTGTACACACAACAACAATATGTCATCCTGGTCTCCGTTGTCGTGTACAGACGACAAAATAATAGGCCGTCTCACCCCTTGTCGTGTATACACGACAACAGTCTTTGTTGTAACTTGTCTTATGTTTAGCTGATTATCGCAAACGACAATCGCATAATACAATTATTTGTCGCTAAAATCAGCACCCATCAGTTGGAAAGAAATAGTTTTATAGGTGCAGAGTACACAATTTATATTTTGTGACGTATTGTTTTCGAATCTTTCGCAAGATGTGTGCGTTTGGTGATTCAAAATAAACAATATGGCGGCAACTTAATTCAATATGAACTCTCATAAATTCATCACTAAATATTTATTTAGACTTATGGAAGTAAATGTGAATATTTTGATATAAGTCTTAATGAAATCTACTCATAATCAAAAGAAAAAAATTAACGACTTCGTATTCGTAAACAATAATCAATCCCTATTAGGAACCTCCACTACAACGCTGAAAACAAGGTTTCGTATAGTTTGTTGCCAAACAGATGTCAATTTCTCTGTCATAATTTGCTGCCAGTTTGTTATTATGCTGCGAAAATGAAGAAGTGTGTGTCTATAAACAACAACGTGAAACAATAACAATATCTGTTCACGGTTACCTGTTTAATTCTTACAGCAATTACAGCTTGTCTAAAAAGACATTAATAATCCGCCATTTTGTTATTTGTGCGGGGGCGAGTCTAGTAAGGACATCCGGTACGGAATACGGACCGGATTTGCAGTACGGAAAGAGTTAATATAATTGTTCCTTACATGGTCCATTAAAGTGTTGTTACATTTCGTGCCGATCCGAAAATCCAAGATGGCCACACTGGCATCTGATTGGCTGGGACATTTTCGTCTTCATCTCAAGAATGACTGCACCAATTGACTCCTTACTTGGTACAATTGATCCTTATAATTATTGGGTCCCAAATAAGTGTTGTTACATTTCTTGCCAATCCAAAAACCGTAGATGGCTGCCCTGCCATCTGATTGGCGGAGACATTTATTACTTCTTCTCAAGAATGGCTTCACCGATAGGCTCCTTTCTTATTACAAATGATCCCTACGAGGTCCCGCATAAATGTTGTTATATTTTGTGCCGATTTGAAATCCAAGATGGCTGCCCTGGTCTCTGATTGGCTGTTTACTTCTTTTCAAGAAGGGCTGCACCAGTTGACTCCTTATTTGGTACAGTTGATCTTTACGAGGTCTCGGACAAGTGTTGTTACATTTCATTTCGATCAGAAAATCCAAGATGGACACCCTTGCATCTGATTGAATTGGACATTTTTCGACTTCAACTACATTTTGATAGATACATGTGTTCTTCTTGGATATTGTTTAACGTTAACTGTCTTTAAGTGTCAAAGTGTAAACTAGCAATCATGAAAAGTCCGTCAAATTGTCTATGTCAATTTATAGTTTATGTATTATGTTTAATGTCTGAAAAATAAATAATTGCCAAAAATTGCTATTAGTCAACATACATTTCCAGTTTAATCCTCCTCTTATCTGCAGGTCACAAAGGAAATTGAAGCCTTCAAGGAAAAAACTTTTGTGTAAGTACTGGGTTTGTTCAGTAATGCCAGAAACCGATGAACCTGCTCTTGGTTGCTCGGGATGATATTCTCGAATGTTTTACCAGAGGCTTAGACAATCGAGAATATCATCCCTTGGGTAGGAGTTTTCTCTGTGACGCCCTCAAGGTAGGGAATGATTCCATTTATGAAATGAACTACATTTAGTGGGGCTCTGCCCTTTGGTAATTTTGCAATATATCAGAAGAATTATAAAAAAAATATCACATAATAAAAATGTAACAATATGAAGGTGATGTTATGAAAATCTGATCATTTCAATGAAATAAACTAAGTATAAAAATCAATATCAAAGTTTTACTTTATACATAAACAATGTACGTATAAAATGCAATGCAACGTTTCAATACCGACTGGTCCCTTTGTCAAATTTGTTAAATCAATTCACTTCACAGCTAAGTTTGATATCTCACCTGGCCCGAAGCTATAGCCAGTAGTAGGGAGGGTACTCACCTTACCTGGTGATAGGGAGGGTACTCATCTTACCTGGTGATAAGGAGTATACTCACCTTACCTGGTGATAGGGAGTGTACTTATCTTAACTGGTGATAGGGAGTGTACTCACCTTACCTGGTGATAGGGAGTATACTCACCTTACCTGGTGATAGAGATTGTACTCACCTTACCTGGTGATAGGGAGTGTACTCACCTTACCTGGTGATAGGGAGTGTACT